AAAGGGAAGCAATGTTGATCAATCTTTTATTTTGAAATTCTGTTTTTACATTTCAGTTTACAATAATTTAATTTACACATTTACATTGTGATTTACTCATATTGTATTTAATATTGTTCTGTGAGGCCAAAACTTCAGAACATACATGATTGCATTAAATATTTTTATATTTTATGTATTTCTGACAGCAGAATAAACAACTATAAACCTAATAATAATAATACCACCACAATATACCACAAACCCACCAGAATCCTAACAAATACTGCTGGTATATTATTACTGATGCAATAAGCAGCAATATTAAGCAGCTGTTGGAGTAAATTGAGGTCAGTCGCTCAGGAGAAAGTAAGATTTAAACGCCACCTGTTTGTGTTTCTGTCGAGTTTCTGTCAAGTATTTAGTAGCATAAAATAAAGATACCAGAACATGTCAGAATAGTATTAAAGTACTTATCAGAAACACCTTTAATACTGAATTCCACATAATTTATTAGCCCCAAAACAGAAGCCTGATACTTCCCAGCAGTGTCCCGTTCACCTTTTCCAGGACGGCCCTACTCTGACTAGCAAAATGTCAATTTACATGTTAAATTAGATAATAAAATAAAGATCTAGTGGTACAGCTGTTCATTTTTAAAGCCGATATGTAAAGTTTAGGCACTGAATCCGTATCAGGAAAGAAAAAAAAATGGCATCAGATCATCTCTAAAGTATCTTTCCCACCCTGCCAAGATGTCCGGTTTCCCCACAGATGGAGAATAACCTCACCTCTTCTATTTGCAGTAATTTCATTTATGTTCCAGATTCGAGGGTTTCAACATAACTCCGTGAACCTGCTTCTTGGCTCGAGGCCACGATGTTTAAAAGCGAGATGATTCAGCTACCGAGCAATGTCTGTAAATAGCAGGGAGCTCATCTGACATTCGAACACTTGCGCCCACGTGTGGTTAAAGCTCATATTACAAGCAGCAAGTGGAACTGATCTCTTCCTGCATGACGTCGATCAGAAAAGTCCAGATTCATTAACCTTTAAAGCAGTTAGGTGAGTAAAGAACAAAGTTTAACTGGAGGCCTCAGACGCTCTAAAATACGCAGCAACGTTTACTTAAAGAAACACGACACGAAAGAAAGTAATTTTTTCCCATTTTATTTCTTTGTTATAAACAAGATGAAAAGGTGGTCCTTTACTTGCCGGGGAGGATGATACCGTCATACTGAAAGGAAACAAAGAGACAAATGTTAGATTGTAGTCGACAGGATTTCAGCAGCATGAGGAACTAAAAGGATCAATGTGAGAACCAAAAGATCGAGATCAAACTCCAATAAGATAACAGATAACAGTAAATTAGCTCTGCAGTGATTCGGAAGTATTAAAATTGAACTTGATCCCAACAGGACTGCGTTTACAGTCATTTCTGAAGCATGTGTGCTGATATTTGAGGAAGTCGAGCGGGTTAAACACGAATTTATGGTTTTAAATTGGCCACAAAATCTCCCATTAAACATTTGATCCAACATTTAAAGTTCAATAACAATTAAAAAACACTTTTCTAGTTGAATTTTCTCAACTTTTAAATGTGAACTTGAAAACCTGGAGAGCTACACTACAGCTCCCAGGTCTGCCAGGACGTCAGACAGACACTCACTTTCTGCTGGAACCAGCGCATGGCCTCCTCTTTGCGGATGCGGTGCCTGAAGCCGATGCGGCCTGTTTTCCGCTTCTTATCGGCGATGCTGAAGCCGGGTCTGCCCAGAACCTGAACAATAAAGGAGGGAAAAAAGGTCAGAAACACTCAAACTGAACATAAAAACACTCCAGAAACATCAGTATAGTCTATCAATGCTGTCTGGGCGAGTACTGGTTGAATGTAATGGTGGATAATTCAGGGATTTAAGCAAATTCTGCAACACAGAAGCTCAGTGTTCATTATTTAAAACATTAAATTCACAATAATACAAACCAGGAAAAGGCAGTAAGTATATGTCAAAAGAAAATGAATCGGCTTATTGTTTCAGCACTATGTTTAAGTTATATCCTCTAAAACTCCACACATTAAAAAAAAGTGTCTAATAAGATCAAAAACTCCATCGACAACAAGTCAGCATGGACATTATTTACTTCAATTAACAGAACTTAAACAGGACAAACAGCATTTAACTGATTTCCTGTAACAACCTGCTGAGGAAGAAATTCCTAAACTAAATATTAAATTAATTAATTAACACCATTTAGCTGCAGCAACTTATTTCTAATCATGTCACACTAAACCAAAGTTTTCACATTTAAGTGTCCCAACATAAAACTTTAAGATGCTCAACACCTTCAAGCCAATTTATCACAACTAAAAACAAATATTAAACATTTATATACGTTAATAAACCTGTAGTGCACCACTTCTATAAAACAAACGTTTTCACACGCAACCAGCAGATTTCCTGGCCACTCACCACGTAGAAGTCCAGCCCGTAGATGCCGATGCTGGGGTCGTACTTGATGCCCAGATCGATGTGCTCCTGGATACCGAAGCCGAAGTTTCCGGTATCCGAGAAGTTGTTCTTTCTCAGCTCGTACTCGCGCACCTGGAAGCAGCAGAGCGACGCCTCTTTAGCCACGAAGCAATAATACGTTCACATCATACTGTAATTCCCCTCTTTAGTTAAATTATTACGCAGCATTAGCGCTTAAGAGAGCATTTATACACTATTTAGTTGGTCCACATGTCGTTTATGTCAGAAGTAATGACACAGCGGGGTTTGTTGTTAATGCAGTAGCTTATAAAAGATGCTTAAAAGACCATTTAACTGCTGTTTAATAACACACACTATAATTAATGCCATTATTATTATTACTGTTTTACATTTAGTCTCAGTTTGAGATCACTTAATCTGGTTATTCTATTGTCTCTGTGGCGTTTACTGTACATCAGAGAACGTCTCCGTCTCTCATCAGATAATCTGTGATTGTCACTTTTCAGATTAAAACCCATCAGGAGGGGCAGTCTACCTGTGTATAAATATTTTAAGATCATTATGAAACAAAGCCGGGCCGCCGGTCTAAGTAATTAAAGGGAAACGCTTCATTTACCATTATAATAAAATGTGCATCTCCTTCAGCCTTCGACTTCCCCTCATATCGCTCCAATTCTTTTATTTTGAAATACCGAACAGCCCGACCAACTAATCAACTGAAAACCAACCTCAGAAGATCCTATTGATCCTATTGATCCGATCGCTCTGAGCATAAACTCCCCTCACACACACATCAATCTCACCTTGAGTCCTTTCTCCAGGATCTCCTCGGCTTTGGCTCCACGGACGGTACAGTGGACAGCAATCTTTTCATTTCTGCGGATACCGAAGGATCGCACAGTGTAGCGGGCTGCGAGGTGGGGGGGGGGGGATAATAAAAGTTAAACACGGCGCCGTGACGAGTCGAACAACGTTTGAACTCCACAAACAAACAAACAAACACTCACCCTTGGAGAAGACGGGCGTCTGACCCGTGAGCTGCTCCAGCACTTTGGCGGCGCGGGTGAGTCTGTCTCCGCTCTCGCCGACGCAGATGTTCAGGCAGAGCTTGCGGATGCGAAGCTCTCTCATGGGGTTCTCCTTCTTCTCGCCCTGGTCCTGCACGGCAACGAGAACACAGGTTAAAGGTCAAAAAGTTTTTATAGATTCACAAACAATCGGGAGAAACTCGGTCGATGCAGAGGACAGAGACAGAAACTACTGAGAGAGCTTCACACTAAAGTTTAACATTCATACTTTATAATTCCTCCACAATCTAAACTCTCCTGACATCGATCCTCTCCACGTTAACCTCAGAGAGAGACATCGATCCTCTCCACGTTAACCTCAGAGAGAGACATCGATCCTCTCCACGTTAACCTCAGAGAGAGACGGACACACTCCGCTGGAGGACATGTCCGAGCACATCCCCGCTGCTGCTGCTGTTAGCATCGCCTCAGAGCCTCAAACTGACCGGAAACTTCACCAATAACTTCTAATAAAACTAATAACACTAATATATATAAAAGACAGGCGTTGCTACAGGAGGAGTTTAATGTGAACACGCGACTGGAAGCTCGATTATAAAGATAGATTTAAAGTAAAACGGAGGAGCGGAGTCCCGCCTCAGCTAGCGTGTTAGCATCGCTCGGGTTTTATCAGTTTAATTTTTTTTTTAAATAAAATAAGATTCTAGTTTAATCCTCCATCTTGGAGTCTGAGCCTCTGTGTGTCGAGCGGCCGTTAGAGTGACGCTGCAGCTCCGATGATTGTGGATTTCTGCTCCGACTTTGTGTTTGATCGCCACCGTACAGTGTGAGCCCGTACTCACCGCCATGTTGGATCACTAGAAGAGGACGTTACGTTTCCGGCGAGAGGGCTTTATAGACGAGTGTTCACCGCAAATGGGTCCGGGTAAACATCGGGGGTTATTAGCGCGGGAGTTCCGGTTTATAAACTAAACTAAAATAAATAAAATAAAATAAAATAAATAAAATAAATAAAATGAAATAAAATGAAATAAAATAAATTAAGATAAAATGAAATAAAATAAATAAAATAAGTTAAAATAAAATAAAATAAAATAAAATAAAATAAAATAAAATAAAATAAAATAAGATGAAATAAAATAAAATAAAATAAATAAAATAAATAAAATAAATAAAATAAATAAAATAAAATAAAATAAAATAAAATTAAATAAAATTAAATAAAATAAACAAAATAAGTTAAAATAAAATAAAATGAAATGAAATGAAATATAAAAGAAATTACTAAACTAAATAAAAGGAATTATTATTATTAACTATCTTGTTGGACTTATGATCAAGCAAAACAAACAATTTGAAGATGTCACATTTGGCTCTGGGAAATTGTGATGGGCATTTTAAATAATAATCATATTAATTAATACAAAACAATAAGTAGTTGTATATTTTTTGTCAAATTGATTGTTTATTCTTTATAACAACGACAATACAAGGCACTGAGTTTCATTTAAGACCTTTGTTTATTCAGGAAACTGTCTGAATATAATCCTATAAATGGAAAGACAAAATGACAAAAAAAAATGCAACACAATAACAAAACACTTTACATTAAAATAAAAAGGTGACTTTGATTTAACCAAATATACAAAACATGTATTGCACAGAGGTGATATCAAACTGTTTCTGATAAAAGATCTACAAGAATCTGTATTAAAACCATATCTGAAACAATCTGCTTTAAAGGGAAACACAAGGATAATTCTTTTCCTTTCACATTACATTATTAAATCCCTCTTTATCACCATTTAAAATATGATATTAACTAACTAAAGTTAGATTATTTATGTCACTGATAAATTAAAATTACAATATCTCTCTATGAAGACTATTATATGCACTGATTCTGTTTCTCTTCATCAGCCAATCAGCGATAATGCTCTTTATCATTAGATATATTTCACATATTCGTCCTCTTTTACCATCACTGACATACAAAACAGAACACAAAACACAGCCACAAAGAGCACTATGATCAGTCTATTCAATCCAGCGTCCAGAGAGTGAACTAGAGTCACGATGGGCGACACATTGGCGGGTGTCTTTGTGGAGGAGTCTGCTGCTGCTGCTGGTGGTGGAGGAGAGATTGATCTCGGTGGTGGGACAGGAGCTGGAGGCTTCAGCAGGGGCAGGCCCTCCCTCCTCTGCTCCTCCAAGGCGCTGACGAGGAAAGCCAGCGCTCTGCGGGGAAAGACGGTCGGGCAGAAGAGGTTGCACGATGGAACGAAGAAGTGAGGGAGGCTGCCTCTGCGCGCGTGGTCCTCCAGAGCCCTGACGAGAAGCAGGAAGCAGGAAGGAAGCTGCTGAGGAGCCCACATGGAGTCGTTGAACCTGACAGACGAGACGCAGGGAGAAAGAGACCAGAAGAGCAATTAAACTCAACGAATTATACAGATTTCTATTAGTAGTTTTTTTACAACCAGTCCTACTAATATGAATTCAAACACAAGCCCTTCTTCTATAATAGATAAACAGGGCTGCAACTAGTGATTATTTCTATTATTTTCAATTTATTGATTAATTGTAAGTCTTTTAAATGTCAAAAAGTAACAACAAAGAGCGCAATCGGTCTTTAAATACATAAAATCTACCTATTTAAGGAACTTGGACCTGAGAATGAATAAATAAATAATAAATCAATTAACAGATTATCAAAATTGTTGTCAATTAATTTTGTTGATTGGCTAATCAATTAATTGACTGATTGTTCCAGCACTGCAGTTAATCCTACTGTTACTATATGTGTTAAATAAATAAAATAAATATGTTTTACTGTTTATGGGGCTGAAACAAACTTAGTAGTTATTTATAAATCTGTCGCTTTTAATATGTCATAAAATATTAAACAAATATTGATTCCAATTTTCTAATCAGATGTTTTTAAACCTGCAATAATTCAATTGGCCACTTGGAGGCAGCAGAAACAAGTTGTTCCTGATAAGATCCACCTGCACCAGGTGAGCTACCGTGGACCACATGGTCACAAACATTATTATAAAATCATGGATTATAACTTCTGCAACATCCCAATCTTTAAACTCACAAACTGTGGAATACATTTACATTAACTTTGTATATAGGCTCTTATATCTAATACTTATATGTATATACCTTTTATTTTATTCTTTAACATGAGTAGAACAACTTTAACAAACAATTTTACCCCTGGGGATCAATAAAGTATTTCTGATTCTGATTCTTTCAATTGTCCAAACAGTCCAAAATCTAATAATATTCAATTTACAATGTTATTACTACAATATTACCAATACAGCACACTACCAGTACTAAATAAGATAAGATAAGATGTTCCTTTATTGATCCCCTGTGGGATGAATTCAGGTAAAGGAACATCTTATCTTATCTTATTACTGCTGTAACAACAACTACTTACAGAACTTCTACTTGATGATATTAGAGATGATGAAGAGTACCTGATGGACAGAATGTGGAGGAAGGCAGTTTTCCCGTGGTACGAGCAGAGGTCATCCAGCTCTTTAGGAAAACGCTGTTTCAGGCCCTGAATCAGAGACTTGAGGAGCATTAAGCACCGTTTACTGCAGAGAGAAGATAAACAGAAGAAAAGAAAAACAAATTATTACAAAATTCTTCTTTTTTTTTGAATCCTGAAACTTAAAAACTTGAAAGTCTTCTTCAATTGGAGAATATTTTGGTGTCTTTTCCAAAATGTATTTACTTTTTTAAGTTGCTATTGACTCTATAAACTTTGTAACCTTTAAAAAGGGTGAATAAGTTCTAAATAAGTAGTTTTATTAATGGTTAATAATCACTTCAACAGTTATAAACCATTAACATTTAATTTCATATATTTATTTTATCTTTTAAATTATATTCATTATATTTATATATAAATCCAACCAGGCAACCAAAGCACCGTCTATAAAGCATTAGTAAATTATTTCTTAATAAAGCCATTCATTATGGCGTAGAAACCCTTTATAAAGAATGTCTTTATAAGAGAAAGAGGAACAGAAAATGCTCCTGAATACTGTGATCGGTCGTATTTTTATTTATTACTTTGATATTTACCGTTTTTGGATCCGCTTCATGTAAATCAGAGAAATTAAAAGACAAACATTTGACTGATTTAACCGCTTTAAGTGATCCTGCTCACACAATAGTTTATTAGATTAACAAAGAACCTTTAAAACTGGGAGGATGTGGGAATAAAGTGACTCCTTTCATCCGTTCAGAGTCTCACCGGCAGCATTTGGTGGCGTTGCTCTCGCAGCAGGTTTTCTTGTTGCCATGGCACGTGATGATTTTCTTCTCAATGTGAGAGAAAGAAATCCTCCAACTTTCTGTGAGACAAAGACAAAAATATGGCGAATAAATAAAAGTGAAGGCAAAGACTCGACAAGCAGACTGATGTTGTGTTCCCTTCTCCTTTCACACAACAGCACACAGAAATCTGTCTCACCTTTGTCTTCCTCGCTGAGGTTTCGTCCTTTGATCCTCTTCGGTACAAAGTAACACGGTAAACTTTTGATTTCTTGGCGAACCTTCTTTCCCAGCCAGTTCTCCACATCTGGGCCATTACGGACGGCGACCGGCCAGCCCTGAGAGGGGTGAACCTCCAAGCAGACACACACAGACAAAGGTTAAGTCACATGAGGTCATTATTACCACCTGTACTACCACCAACCTCTGCCATTACATTAGTACACTGTACCCGCACTAGAACTCACTCTACCGCTCACTACCTTTACAATTATGGCTTCTAATGCGACAACCAGAGGTGGAAGAGGTATGGACATATTTAAAGAGTTAAGGAGTATTAAAATTACATGTAGAGACGCGCTGGTAGCTCGCCTGGTATCATTAACATCTGCAATGACTGAGAATAAAACATAATTATAGTAATGTGCAGAATAAATTAATCCATCTTCAATAACCTTTTTCAAGGTCCAGTGTGAAACATTTAGGAGGATCTATTGGCAGAAATAAAATATAATATTCATAGGTATGTTTTCATTAGTGTATAATCACCTGAATATATGAATAAGTTGTGTTTGTGTTCCCTTAGAATGAGATGTTTTTAGCTACAGATGCCTTCCAACTGCTATGTTTCTACAGTAGCCCAGAAAGAGCAAATCAAACACGGGCTGTAGAAACGGCCTTTTACGTTTTTTGGAGCATTTCACGACCACTTTAATTTCTCCCTCGTGTTTAGAAAGGGAGGGAATCTGAAACTACACTGCTACATGCCACTAAATCCTACACACTGGGGGCTTTTTATGCCTTTAGGACAGGAGAAGATAGACAGGAGAGGCCACTGTGGTAAGGACACGCTCTACTACTGCGCGTTTGACATTGTCATAGTTTTAGTAAACATTAACAAAGACAAATAGACAGAAATTGAGCAAAGCGATAGTTCAGGCAGGCCACAAAGTCGAGCTCACAATCACAACTACATCAGCTGATTGTAAACAGCTCACACTGACGGCTCTATTAACCTGTTCCGTCTTTGCTCCAGCTCTCCTTCCCTCTCCACATGTGGAAGGACAGGGAGGTCCCAGATCAGAAGAAATATAACTTACTACAACTGGAAATAAAGTTGTCTTTGATAAAAGTGGCGCTGACTGAAACACGTACTCATACATATAGATGTGCTTCATCAGCTGCTCATGTTTAGAAATGTTTGTTTTCCTCCTAATCTCCTAAATCCTTCATAACGGGCTGTAATTCAAGACTATGGAGGATGGATTTACTTATTTCACACAGATAAATATTTACCTCCAGAGCAGGAACCACATCCACTGAGATCAGCTCGTCAATGTTGTTGTCAGTCTTGAACAGAGATAAAGTCACAGCCGGCGAGTAGGGCCGCTTCCTGTTCACCTCCCAGCGAAAGTCTTCAACCGGAACTGGAAAAGAAAGAAAAGAGAACACAGATCGTAAATAAAGCTTCACTTTGTGGTCGACAAACAAATAGATGAGTCCTCGTATCTCCAACTGTGCCGCACAGACATCAACAAGGAATCAGAGGGAGAGACCAGACGATTGGCACAAACTAAAAACAAACAGATGAGAGATGAAAGAGATGATGATCAGACCTCGGTAGGTCTTCAGGAACTTGCGGACCAGGCGAAACATCTCAGTCAGGATCTTGCTTGATGAGATTGTGCACTGGTTCTCCAGAAGGAAGGCTTGTACGGGGCTCCGAGCGTGGCGGGCGAAATCGAGCCGGTAGAAGAGGCCGCCGTCGATCTTCGTCATGTTGATGCGTGAAGGAGCCTGAAGCTTCAGCATCATGTCGAATTCATCGGGGTTGTGGATCTGAGGACAGGAGGTTCAACACAACAACAGGTCAGATCTTATTTAGCTTCCTGGATTAAACGTCTCATGAAATGTTACCAATACTTGTGATAGATTTCTTGTTGAAGCAGGAGAGTAAGTATAAACTGGTGGGATATTACAGTAGTTCTGGAGAGAAATGTCGTTTGATATGATATTTTACTATTTTATATTATGTACTGTCACCAAAATCACCCTTAAAAATGCTTCTTCTTTGAGGACGAATTTCCTTTATGTATCATTTCTTATTTAAATGATTTTTTAAATGTGCTTTATCATTAAAAATTAACTGTCCTCACACCTAAACGCTGTGTTACAGTTGAGTGTAATTTATTTGCCAAAAAGAAAGAGACAAAACACACACTTAAATGTATGTTTCAATACAATTATTATTAATTTATAATGTTCTAAAGCTATATCGAGATAATGTTATCGGAAATTGTTTTGGCCACAATAATCATGGAGTGAAAACATGGTACCAACCATGTCATGTTAGTGTTGGGAAGGGAGCTAAATAACGGTCCAAAAGTGAAGCTAAAGGGAACCCCTGACCTCTGACCTCAAGATATCTGTATGAAAATGGGTCCTAAGGGTTCCCACAAGTCTCCCCTTTGCTGACTTTATGCTTATCCCACACAGTTTTTTCGCATGTGGTATAAATATGTTATTTTCACTCAGTTTATTTTAATATTTCTGCAAACTGAGGTCCATAAACAGTGTTCGAATTGAATAAAGTAGGAATGACTGATAAACTGAGACACATTCTTTAGGCCACCTCTGCATTATATATTCAAAAAAGGTCTGGACATGTCCCTGCTTTCCTGCATTATATAAAGAGGAGTTCCTAATATTCTCTGATACAAATCTCTGGCTGGGTTGTTGTTGTTGTTGTTGTTGTTGACCTCACCTTCACTTTCTCAAAGTAGCTGCCGGTGGTGAGGAAGTCTCCTGACTGGAAGAAAGGTTGATCACTGTTGCTCCGCAGGAATTTCAGGAGGCTATCTCGGAAATCGTTCACCACCTCTGCAGCCCAGCGGCGGTCTGTCTGACGGATCTTCAGGTCTTTAGCGTTGAATTTGATCCAGGAGGCCAGCTCTGGGGAGAGGGACACCGGCTCCTCGACCTCTGTGGATCCCTCCTCTGTAAAGTATAGAGAATATCTCCAAATCTCCAACGAGCTTTTTTAACATTCAACACAGAAAATAATTTAAAAAAGAGGTTAAGATGCTTTTCCACATGTAAACTGACTGAACTTCAGCTGCAGCCTCACCTGCTTGTTGTTGTTGCTGAACTTTCTGTCTTTGTCTTGCAGGTGTGGGGCGTTGGAGACGCTGCACCGCTTCAGTCAGACTGTCCTCTCTGTTCATAATTCACTCGTCTCAGCCTTGAATAACAGAGATTATAATATATATGAGTCTTTTTCCCGTCATGTCACTTTCTACTTCTACTCCACTGCATCTCAGAGGAAGGGACGTACTTTAAGGTTTTAGTTACTTTACTTTACTTTAAGTGAGATTTAATTATCAGTATTTTTAAACATAATTTTAAATCTAATTATACAATATATAATAGTATGACAGTGACAGGGGACTTTTTCAGCTTTGATATCTACTTTCATATTTTTAATTACCTTTTCTCCTGCTAAAACTTATTTTTGCATACTATTTGTGGAGGCTATTGGTCAAAAGGATTTTTCCAATTAAGAGGTTCATTGTCCAGGCAGGATTCAATTAAGTTGATTTATTTTACAGTTTAAGAGCAAACATACAGTTTAATCAACCCTCTCTTGCTCCGTCTCTTCCTGGTGCATCACCTAACAAGTGCTTAGTCTGGTGCTTAGTGCCCCCTAATGTGTACAAAAGGAAATCATTACAAAAATAACTAATAACAATAATACAATAATCAAACTAATTAAATATCCCCTACACTTTTTTCTCAAATAGCATTTTAAAAGCAGGACTACTTGTTTTTACAGCAAAACTGGTTTACGTAACATAAGCCAATACATCCAGTTCACAAGATCATAACAATCCACACATTAAGACAGTTTTCGAGCAGCACATATGAACAGTGCTGTAATTGTAAATGACTCAAAGATATAACAACTATATATACTATTTTATTGTCTTTCATTGGACAACCGGGCTCCTTGATCCTCGTTAAACTGCTGTGAAATGTGATACACACCTTCATGGTCTCTGGAGGATTCAGGACTTTCTTTTATCCGGCTCCAGGTCAATATTTAATTCGTCCAACTAAATTTGATTATGCCCAAATGGATCCAAAAATAGACTGCATGTATGCATTATTGTCATTAAACAGACAGAGTGTGTTTGACAGCAGAAAACGATAACCTAAAGCCTGTAAGATTAAATAAAATAGATAGTGGTTTAACTCACCTGTGTTTGAGAAGCTTCCGTTGTAAATGTGGGTGGGTTTCTGTTGTGTTTGTCTTCCTCGTCAGCTTTATAATATCTTCACTTTCACTTTCACTTTCTAGGAAATGGAATCTGAGGATATCAATCAATCCTGTGGGAGGATGCAGTCCTCTCTCTTCCTCCTCTGTAAGTGGGTATCTTTCATTTTATAGACACTTAATGGTTTCAAAATGCTGCCAGTTGCACAACTCCACCCATGAATAATGACGCTGCAAGGCAAAACACCCACCCACACAAGCAAACTGGTTGTACCAGTATTTCTGTGTCATATTATAACTGGACACACCTTCTATAAACTGGGTTACAGCTATTAATCTCTTGTACCTCAACTAAATAACGAGGTTGCTCCTTACAGTGACATAAGTTCACAAACAGGCTTGTATGTCGATCACGTGCTGTATGTTTCTATGAGGACAAACTATAACCTGCATCACAAGCCTATTTCTAATGTTTTCTTTTTATGTTTTTGCCGCTAACTAAAGAGGAAAAGTGCCTTTCACACCTCAGATCCTCAGCTCTATCTACTGTCTTTCCTGTCACTTAGACACACAGATTAAAAGATATAGAGAACCAAGTTAGTCCCCACATGAAAATACAACCTTAAGAACAAGATAAAAGCGTTCAAATATTAATATAAATATAGCCCATCTTGTAAAAGTGTACTTACACACTGAGGGGAAGGCTGCTCCAAAGCCGAGGAGCCGTAACTGGAAACCGTCTGGTTGGTGGAACAACTCAAAGGTTTTGATCAGCTGATGTTAAAAGGGCCTGGCTGGGCTGTGAGGGTTTAATCTGGATCAAAGATAAGATGTTTCTTTAAATTACAGGAAGTTGGCAGCCATCCATTCCTGTTAGTTTAACAGCAAGGTAACAAAGTCAGATTGTACACTTAAAGGGTTAAGAATGTTTCCAATTGCACAACTTGACCCATGAACACAAACAAGCTGTAAATCTGTGTCATATTATAACTGGACACACTTTCTATAAACTGGGTTACAGCTGTTGATCTCTTGAACATCTTATAGTGACGCAACGTGTTCACAAACAGGGATGTTAATCACATACTGGATGTTTTTAGGAAGACGTGTAGGCTAATTATCTTAAATTATATCAGAATCAAAGAGGTTAGACCTTATTGATCTTCACAAAGAAGCCATCTCACACACACACACACACACACACACACACACACTCACACACTGTAATTTAAATATTCACAACTATCATTAATGAGCTAAAAGCAGGTACAATGTTTATCATCTTAGTTTAACATGTTAGTATGCTAACTAGTACAGATGATGTTTTTATTTTTAAGTTATCATAATAAACCAAAGTTTAGGACCTTATTGTGACCTGATGATGCTGAATGTAAAGTCAGGGGGAATCACCAAAGTGACCAGTTCATGCTGAGGAAGATCGAGTTTAATAGCAGTTCATCCACCAGATGTGCAGACATTAGTTCAAACAGCTGTTCTAGCTACATGTTTATGATATTTCACAGGATATGTGAATGGTTTGACCTTCGGGTGGCGCTAGAGGAACGGTCAGGGGTTAGGGTTAGTAGTATTAAAGTATTTACAGTTAAATAATTCATGGGACGTAAGACCTATAGATCACCTGACAGACCAACGTTGCCACCCTTAAAGCTGTGCTGCTAGTACTAAAAAATCCATAAGTAGAAACCTTTAGAGGAAGAAAGATAAATATTTGTTCATTCATCAGTTAATTGCATTGGATGCTCTAACTAAGAACTACCTCTAGAACTACTAGAAATACCCAGTGGATTTATCTTGTGTGCAATATTTATGTTACGTTTCAGACCAACCTTTTTGTACATATTAGTCTCTAATTGTTAATGTATAAATGTTTGTGTTTGTATGTTTTCTATTTGTCCCCTTTCTTTCCTAAATTTAAAAGGTCTTATTCTTCGTATGGCATTGACTTTAAGCAGTTAATGTTAATTCTCTGTTTGAACAACAATTAAACGACAATCACAAAAAAAAAGGGATGTTAGATTTCTCACTAACTTCACTTTATAAACAGAAACACGGGTCATCTGATGCACTGCGGTAATTTGCTCAGCTCCAGTATAATAGTTAAAGCTAAATTTACAGTATTTACGTAAGGTGTTCAATGTGGGTTTTGTGGGACAATCTGCAGTATTTTAAGTTTCTTTAATGCTGCACTGCTTTGATTAAATGGACCATCAAAGGTTTGTGCTTCTTGAGTCAAGAACACATTTTATATGAGTAAAATGTTGTCAAAAGCCACTTAAAAATGAATGAATGTTGCTTTCATTGAAGCACCAGAATGAAATTGAAAACCATGAAAACATCTTCACTTTAAGAATTTTATTTTTTTGCTTTCAACCTAATTTTTATTAGTTTTATTTAACAGTTGTCCATAAAAGACACAAGCCTTCCTTTCCGGCGGAAACTTTTCCGATGGGTTTTAATGAGCATAAGCCAGACGATGGTGTTAGGATGAAGGAGGGATGGTTGCTGACATGTGACTTGTTGTTGGACGCCCTGCATGAGAATTCATCTCTTCTTGTCGGCCTTCAGTGCCGCCTTGGTGACCTTTCCACCAGAAAGGTCCTTCTTCACAACGGACTTGATGACACCGACGGCCACGGTCTGCCTCATGTCCCGCACAGCAAAACGCCCTGGGGAGGAAGAGACGGACAAGGCGCTTGAAAAAATGCCGTTGACATAATTATGGAGCATAAAAAATACACATTAAAAAGTTGGAAGAGCATAATATGTTCATTCTTTCTGTTCCAGAACCTGAATTTAAAGGTTGATGAGATTCTGGATGATGGATCTGTGACCACTGTGTCCGTCCACTGGTCACAGTGTTAATGTTTGATCAAGGGAGGCAAATTTCAAGCTACTAAAAGTACAAAAGTCGTAAGCTTGAAGGTTCCTTCTCAACCTTGAAAACAGCAACTTGACAAAAATAAATAAATTATCAACACAAAGTTCTGACTGACTTGTTTCTGAAGCTTTTAACCACACCTTGTGGCTTTGTCATCACCTGTTTTCACCTCCATGGAATTTAAGTTACGCCATAAAAGATTACGACAAAGTCAAATTGGACCTTGTCTGAAGAATTTTTATTTAAAACAAAGAACGCAGACTACTTTCACAGCTAAAATAAAGAACATTGTGTGAATCAAAAGTTACATAAAAACACAACAAGTAACTAAGTTGGATTATAAGTTAAAGAAATTGTTTGACATTTTGAGCAATACACCTATTTGCTCTCTTACTGAGGACTTGAATGAGATGATCGATACCGCTCTCAAGCCTGTACGGTAAATGTGAACCTACATCCAGCAACCAGTTAGCTTAGCTTAAGCATCAAGACATCTGTCTGAAGGTAAAATAACCCACCTGCCTAAAAGTCAGTTCAGGTTTCAGTTGATGCACCGTTATTGAAAGCAGTTCAAATGTCAGACGAAGAGCAATAAAAATGTAGTGATAAAAGGTTCTGCTGGAATGGAAGTGCTACATAGATAGATGGGTCCACCCTATCTATCTATCTCTATTGTCTTAACAACAAAATGGAGTAGATGAAGAGGAAAAAGCATTTCACTCACCCAGTGGGGGGAACTCAGAGAAGCTCTCGACACACATGGGTTTTGAAGGCTCCATGTCAACGATGCAGGCGTCTCCAGACTTGACGAACTTGGGGTTGTCCTCAAGCTTCTTGCCGGAACGGCGGTCGATCTTCTCGACGAGCTCCTTGAACTTGCAGGCGATGTGAGCCGTGTGGCAGTCCAGCACAGGCTGGTAGCCCGAGGAGATCTGGCCCGGATGGTTCAGGATGATGACCTGAAATAGTTTAATGTTCATTTAGAAATCACTTCTGGCCTCAGGTAAAGGTCACTGCAGTTCCTGCTACTGGCCAGCAGAGGTTGACAGATGTTTACCTCAACTTGAATCATTGAATCACTTCTCTACAATCACAATAAAATTAATTATTTAAAAGTTATAGACAAAACACCCAATATGAAAGAGTTTTGGATAGATAGACTCCATATCTTTGGGTTTGAACATAACAAGACATTTGAGGACGTCACCTTAGGAAAGAGTGATCAACACTTTATCCCATTTTATGACATTTTATGGACCAACTAACAACAACTAATCAATCAATCGAGAAAATTATCTTGAATCCAGCGAATACAGATTGTTAAAGAGGGAACTCTAAAGTCCACGATAACTAGACCAGGTCACTAATAAAATAATACACAACCAGCAAGAGAATTAACCCTTTGTTTCAATGTCATTGATTGATGGTGCATATTAATAAAAATCAGCCTGAATATCGCTGATTGAAACCTTTTAATTAACTCTGTACTGTGTGGAGTCCACTGATGGTGTCTCGTCGTTTTGGCTGACTTCAACAGGAGCACCAAATAACATCTTGTACCACCTTAATCTGGGTTTCATCGTTGTTGAAGACGAGGTCTACATTGGCTGCATCGTCTGCGTATTTGATTGTTTTCTGCCGAACTGTTGTTGGTATACAGCGAGGAGAGTCACAGAGAGATTTGGTTTTGATTTAAAAAAAAGAGGCTTCAATTAAACCTTGGAGACAAGTTTTGTTGGGGTTTCTTCATCTATGTTCAGTATATGTTTCCAAGCCCAGTTCCTCATCACTTTTTAATCTTTATTTCCAGTGTTTTTGTTCTCACTCACCTGGGCATTGAAGCTTGCAGTCGCCTGGGGAGGACTGTTCTTGCTGTCGCCGGCCACATTTCCTCTGCGGATCTCCTTGACGGACACGTTCTTGATGTTGAAGCCGACGTTGTCACCGGGGACAGCTTCAGGCAGAGACTCGTGGTGCATCTCTACAGACTTCACCTCGGTGGTCAGGTTGGGGGGAGCGAAGATGACGATCATACCGGGCTTCAGGATACCGGTCTCCACACGACCGACGGGTACAGTTCCAATACCTGAGAGAGAACAGGACGCATATTTTATTTTCCTAATTACCACTAATTATACCCAAAAAAGTAATGCCACATATTACCTTTTACATAACAAACACTTACTCTGTAAAGTGAACTAATAGTGCCCCCGTGTTTGAAAAAAAGCTGAAAAAGCGCCCTATAGGGTGCAAATCATAACCCTGACTAAGCTTTCAGCATAAATGCATCACAACTTTATTCACGCTTGTCCACTTGGTTTAGATTTTGATATTTTGTGACTGTGTTCTTGGTTGTAGCAGCATAATATAAATAAAGATTATCAGTATTATTATCATGTGAATGTTAGCTGCTGTGCAAAAGCTCAGTATGTGCACCGAATGTGTTGTGATGTGATGTGACTTAAGGTGAGGTGAGGTTATGGCGTCTGACACTCCTTACCGCCAATCTTGTAGACGTCCTGCAGGGGCAGACGGAGGGGCTTGTTGGTGGGGCGGGCAGGGGGCAGGATGGCATCAAGAGCCTCCAGCAGTGTGTTTCCATTAGCATTGCCCTCCTTGCGCTCAACCTTCCATCCCTTGAACCAGCTCATCTATAGACAGATTCAAAGTGAGACATCAGTCCATGTTCTCAATCATCAGGTTGACACAAGTTGAAAATGCCCCTTACCTTTTCACTGGCCTCCAGCATGTTGTCTCCGTGCCATCCAGAGATGGGTAC